GAAGCTACATTTTTTTTTTAAAGATTTGTTTTATTTATTTGAAAGACAGAGTTACACAGAGAGGTAGAGACAGAGAGAAAAGTCTTCCATCTGCTGGTTCACCCCCCAGATGGCTGCAACAGCTGGAGCTGTGCCGATCCAAAGCCAGGAGCCAGGAGCTTGCTCTGGGTCTCCCATGTAGGTTCAGGGGCCCAAGGACTTGGGCCATCTTCTACTGCTTTCCCAGGCCATAGCAGAGAGCTGGATTGGAAGAGGAGCAGCCAGGACTATAATTAGTGCCCACATGGGATGCTGGCGCTTCAGGCCAGGGCATTAACCCACTGCGCCACAGTGCTGGCCCCAAGAAACTACATTAACATCTGAGATTGATAAAATACTCTGTCCTCAGACCAAACACTGGCTTCAGCTCTGTGCCATCTACTCCTGACTTGCCACCCTGCTACTCCCTCACAGCCCACCTTCCTTTTTGCACTTCTTCTTTTTTTTTTTTTTTGAAGATTTATTTATTTATTTGAAAGTCAGAGTTACACACACACAGAGACAGAGAAGTCTTCCATCCGATGGTTCACTCCCCAATTGGTCACAACGGCTGGAGCTGTGCCAATCCAAAGCCAGGATCCAGGTCTCCCACATGAGTGCGGGGGCCCAAGGACTTGGACCATCCTGTACTGCTTTCCCAGGCCATAGCAGAGAGCTGGATCGAAGTGGAGCAGTCGGTTCTTGAACTGATGCCCATATGGGATGCCTGCACTTCAGGCCAGGGCATTAATTCACTATGCCACAGTGCTGGCCCCCCTTTTTGTACTTCTTAAAAGCCCCAGGCAGCCCTCCCTGAGCAGGACTGTAGTTCTTGAGACTAACATCCTCATCCACCAACTGTAAACTTTACCTTATATTTACCCTCAAACCTTGTCTTCATTATCCTGACTCAGCACTGTTTAGAAGGACTGAACTTTTGGTAACAAAAGAGCCAAATGAAAATTCTAGAACTAAAAGAAACAGTATCTGAAACAAAGAATTTCTTAGATGGCCTTAACATTAGAATGGAGATGACAAAAGAAGTTTTTGAACTTGAAGAAAAATCAGTAGCAACTAATCTGAAAAAGCAAGAAAATAAAGATTCAGAAATTTGAACAGGGATTTAAGAATTTGTGGACAATATAAAAAGTTCTAATGCAGTTGAACTGGAGTTCAGAAAACAAGAAAGAATGAGTCAGAAAAGCAACTGTGCTGGCTCCGCGGCTCACTAGGCTAATCCTCCACCTTGCAGCGCCGGCACACCGGGTTCTAGTCCTGGTTGGGGCGCCGGATTCTGTCCCGGTTGCCCCTCTTCCAGGCCAGCTCTCTGCTGTGGCCAGGGAGTGCAGTGGAGGATGGCCCAGGTGCTTGGGCCCTGCACCCCATGGGAGACCAGGAAAAGCACCTGGCTCCTGGCTCCTGCCATCGGATCAGTGCGGTGTGCCGGCCGCAGCGCGCCGGCCGCGGCGGCCATTGGAGGGTGAACCAACGGCAAAGGAAGACCTTTCTCTCTGTCTCTCTCACTGTCCACTCTGCCTGTCAAAAAATAAAAAAAAAAAAAGAGAACATTGGAGAAACCCTTCAAGATATTGGCACAGGCAAAGAATTTCTGGAAAAGACCCGGGAGGCACAGGCAGTCAAAGCCAAAATCAACTATTGGGATTGCATCAAATTGAGAAGTTTCTGTACTGCAAAAGAAACAGGAGAGTGAAGAGACAACCGACAGAATGGGAAAAAATATTTGCAAACTATGCAACACATAAAGGATTAATAACCAGAATCTAGAAAGAGATCAAGAAACTCCACAAAAACAAAACCAACAACCCACTTAAGAGATGGGCCAAGGATCTCAATAGACATTTTTCAAAAGAGGAAATCCAAATGGCCAACAGGTAAATGAAAAAATGTTCAAGGTCACTAGCAATCAGGGAAATGCAAATCAAAACCACAATGAGGTTTCACCTCACCCCGGTTAGAATGGCTCACATTCAGAAATCTACCAACAACAGATGCTGGCGAGGATGTGGGGAAAAAGGGACACTAACCCACTGTTGGTGGGAATGCAAACTGGTACAGCCACTATGGAAGTCAGTCTGGAGATTCCTCAGAAACCTGAATATAACCCTACCGTTCGACCCAGCCATCCCACTCCTTGGAATTTACCCAAAGGAAATTAAATTGGCAAAGAAAAAAGCAGCCTGAACCTTAATGTTTATTGCAGCTCAATTCACAATAGCTAAGACCTGGAACCAACCCAAATGCCCATCAACAGTAGACTGGATAAAGAAATTATGGGACATGTACTCTATAGAATACTATACAGCAGTCAAAAACAATGAAACCCAGTCATTTGCAACAAGATGGAATAATCTGGAAAACATTATGCTGAGTGAATTAAGCCAGTCCCAAAGGGACAAATACCATATGTTCGCCCTGATCGGTGACAACTGACTGAACACCAAAAAGGAAACCTGTTGAAGTGAAATGGACACTATGAGAAATGGTGACTTGATCAGCATAGCCCTGACTGTTAATGAACAACTTAATACATTATCCCTCTTAGTAGTTTTTTTTGTCTGTTCTACTTAATATGACTGGTTTAATTCTGTAATTAAAACACAGTTATTCTTAAGTGTTGAAATTTAACTGAAATGTGATCCCTGTTAAACATAAGAGTGGGGATAAGACAGGGAAGAGATGTACAATTTGGGACATGCTCAAGCTGACTTGCCCCAAATGGTAGAGTTAGAAACATACCAGGGGACTCCAATTTAATCCCATCAAGGTGGCATGTACCAATGCCATCTTACTAGTCAAAGTGATCAATTTCAGTTCACAATTGATCATAATGAAAGGACTAAGAGTCAAAGGGAGCATATAAATAAGTCTAGTACCTGCTAATACTAACCGATAGAATAGGGGTATATTTCACTTTGTGTTTCTGTGGGGGTGCAAACTGTTGAAATCTTTACTTAATGTATACTAAACTGATCTTCTGTTTAAAAAAAAAAAGAAGAAATTAGCAATTCCCAACTTGACTTTCACTGGGATTAAACATGACAATAGGTCTGATCTGATTTCATCATCATTTAAAAAATCATCTATTATTTTTCACTTTATGTTTCTGTGTGGGAGCAAACTGTTGAAATCTTTACTTAATGTATGCTAAACTGATCTTCTGTATATAAAGAGAATTGAAAATGAATCCTCATGTGAATGGAAGGGGAGAGGGAATGGGAAAGGGGAGGGTTGCGGGTGGGAGGGACGTTATGGGGGGGAAGCCATTGTAATCCATAAGCCGTACTTTGGAAATTTATATTCATTAAATAAAAGTAAAAAAAAAAGTAAAAAAAGAAAAGCAATTGAAGAAAAAGGATGAAAATTTCTCCAATTCGATGAGACTCTATATTACAGATTCAAGAAGCTAAGAAAACCCAGATCAAGGTAAATGTAAAACAAATTGTTCCTCATCACATCACAGTTAACCTTCTAAAAACCAAAGGTGAAGAGAACATCTTGAAAACTGCAAGAGAAACATAATGTATTACCTACAGGGTTGGAGTGATTCACAAAGCCATTGACTTCTAATCAAACCATAGACAACAAAAGATGACAGAACAACATTTTAAAATGGAACCAGTAGATAAGGCCACTAAGTACATAGAGAAGAGGGACTGAGGAGTTAAGTAAAAGTGATGAGAGATAAAAGGAACATCAAGAGTGGGAGGAGTCCTTCAAAACGTGTCAGAAAGGAGGGAATGACCAACTGTGTCACATGCAGCTGGTAAGTCAAGGGCAGAGAACTGACTATTGGACCTAACTAACTATTGGCCTGTGAGGTAAGTAATAATCTTGACAAGAACAATTTTGGTATTATGGTGAACTTAAAGCTTGGTTGGAGTGCATTTAAGAGAGAAGAGAAGACAGGAATTGGAAACGACATGTAAAGACAACATTTTTTTTTAAGATTTTATTTATTTATTTGAAAGGCAAATTTACGGTGGAGGGGGGAGAGAGAAAGAGACTGATTTTCCATCTGCCCGTTAACGCCCCAAATGTCTCCAGCTTCTGGGTGTAGGCCATATGGAAGCCAGGAGCAAGGAGCTCCTTCTGGGTCTCCCACATGGGTGCAGGGGAACAGGGATCTGGGCCATCTTCCGCTGCTTTCCCAGAGACGTTAACAGGGAGCTGGGTCAGAAGTGGAGCAGCAAGGACTTGAACTAGTGCCCATATGGGATGCTGGCACTGCAGGCGGCAGCTTATTCCTCTGTGCCACAGAGCTGAACCCCAAAGGCAACTCTTTCAAAGAGCTTTGCCTAACACAAGGAGAAAAGAAATAGTTTATGCAGAAGATGGGGTCAAGAGGTTTTGCTTTGTTTTGTAGCAGGTTGCTAGCATGCTAATTAGCATTACCCAGAAAACAGCTGAACAGAAGAGAAAATACAGACTACAAATGGAGAGAGTTGTCCAATGTTATCAGGTCTCCAGAGTTAAAAATAAGAAAAATAGCCATTTGAACTAGAGTTTAAACATTGTATACATGAATATGTGACTTGAATTCTCATATCCCTTTTATAACATGCAAAGCTATTTGATCTTCAGACTTAACTATTTATAACTTAGCAATTTCTTCAATGTAATATTTGAAAAATATGTACTCAAAAATTACATAAAATTTTATGATTTTATAGAGTAGTAATTTGGATTTGTTCTTTTTGTATTTTTAATTTTGTGGTATTCTCCAAATAATGAAGAGGATGCGTTTCAAAAATTGATTTTTAGTTTATTTTAAAACTAAGAATAAAATTTTCTACTAAGATTTATGTTATACTAAGTAGTTTATCCTGACCAGTGCACAAAATTCTATAAAATACCTGAATTGTGTTGCTAATTAGAGAGTCTCAACCATTCATACTTTCATTTCTGTGTTAAAATGTATTCTAATTTCCAACCCAAGATTCTGGAACACATCTCCCATTATGAAGTGGGCGAAGGTGGGGGTGGAAACGCAGCCTTCCGCTCACACTCTGCACCCTCGTATTACACCAGTGAGGGTGGAATATTAAGACTCTCATGGTATGAAGGATTGAAGTAATGGGGTAATGGAGATCCTAGACAACTATTTCTCACCAGTGAAAACTAAATGAAGATCCAGGAGTCACTGCAGCCCCCGTAGGGATGAGAAGGAAGTTTCAGCAGTTAGAGTGTGGTGGTGAGTTCCTAGTTACACGACTGCTTCTATATAAGAGTGCGTTAAAGTCTTCCTTGTGTTGTGCATGGTTATGTGTTTGTCTGTATGTGTATTTTCACATGTACTGTTTCTTCTCTAATTATTGAAATCTTGTTGGCCTACAAACTCAATATCTAAAAAATGTCAGTGAATAAACTTTTATTCAGATCTCTGCTGTTATGATGAGATGAGTGGTGATTAAATGAACTACAAGTAAACATATTTCCATATATACAGTTGGTTGTCATATCCACAGTTTCTGCATCTGAGGGTTCAGCCAACTACAGACAAAATATTTGAAACACAATTGTCTGTATTAAACATGTACACAGTTTTTATTATAAGTAATCTAGAGCTGTTTCAAAGTACAAGACAGGATGCCATAGATCATACACAAGCCACATCATTTTAAAGTATTGAGCATTCATGGATTCGAATATCTGTGAAGGTCCTGAAGACAATCTCCCATGGATTCTGAAAGATGACTATCTTTTAGAGTGTATACTGTAGAAGTCCGTTTCCTATTGATTCTGTACCTGCAAGATTGTACAATGAGAAGAGATATATGAGTAATGATGGTACGCAGGCAGGGAATTCTGAATCATCCGTAATTAAGTGATTTTCAGCATAGGATTACTATTCTTTGTAAATCTTTTGGCATTGACAAATGGTATAATTCTTGGACAAAAGTAACCTTAACCAGAACAGCACCCAATTTTGGGGGTGAGAACTTAGCAATTGCTTCCTTAAGTAGAGAGACATTTATTGAAATAAAATTCTATTTCCTTATAGATCTTCTGAGTCATTATTATGATGGTCTCTTTTCACCATGTCCTGCTTATCTTGAAATACAAAGCTGATATTTTTAGATACACATAGTCCTTTCAGAATTAAAGGTACATTTGCCTATTTTGAGAGGACATCGAAGGACTTTAAACTTGCTTGAATTTTTTTTTGTTTGTTTTTATAAATCCCAAATGCACCAGGGAAGCACTTGGGTTCAAAGGGCTTAGAGTTATTGTAATTACAACCCATTGAGAGTGTGAAATGCAGCTAAGTAATTTTCTTGTTTCAAAAGAAATGGGCACACAGATGTATATTTTGAATACTTGTAGAAGTTTAATTGCCTGCCATGAGGTGTATTTAGGAGCACGAGTAAATAGGTTAAGACACATCTATAGAAAGAACTCCTCTAAGAGGGAATAAGAACTTGTGAACACTACTTCTGAGATTGAATGTAAGATTTAGAGCACTGCACAGATTATTTTTTTGAAAGTTACATGTTGATTATATACACATTGTTAAAAATGACTGAATTGTTCATAGTAGAATTTATGCCGAATAATTGGTATTGTTTCTTAAATAATAGGTGCTATTTTAAATCTTTTCACTTTTCAAAAACTGCCCATTTTAAGTATCAATATCTCTTCTCTATAATTGTGTGCTTCTAAGATAAGTCTTAATGCTGTGTGACAAGAAGCTATTTGTTCAATCGGACCTGTGGGGCTTTCCTAACCTCTTCAAACTTGAGTGCCAATCATTAGGCTGGATAAAATCATAGCGTGGTGTTTTCTTTAAGCTTTAAAGACCAATGAATGATCTCAAGTATTTAAATAACTGCTTGAATTTCCTTAATTTGTACAAACTCTCTGCAGTAATTCTACTTTGTCCAGTATGTCATCTGAGTAGCTTTACCTTGGTTTGTGTACTTAGTTGATAGTGTTCAATGGTACGTGGCATTTTTATGAACCTTTGTCTTACTGAACTGCATATGAGGTAATCATTCTAAGTCATATAAAGGTAATTCAAAAGGCAGTGGAAAAATAAAAATGAAAGATAAATTTATTTTGGTGCAAAAATTTTGACATCCATGCCATTTTTCATAATATACATTTTCCATGAACATTGTGAAGATCTCTTGTATTTTAAAGTTGTGTACCAACTTCATAAAATAATATGTTGGAATCAGTGTTTGTAGGCTAGGTCAGCAAATTTAGCATTTTATATCACGTTTTGTTTATCTTTTTAAATATACTGAAATTTTACATCAAGTGATTCTTCCTATTTTTCACATTATAAGATTTTATGTATTCATATTTAGTTTTCTATTAAAATTAAAGTATATGTGAAATATATGAAAATGGTATTGAATTGTTTAATGTTTATTATAAAAAGCATTAAAGACTTATTTTTCAATGTAAAGTTTTATTGGTTTTCCATTATACAAATATTCAAGACATAGCTGGAACAATACTTGGATTCACAGATGATTTTCCTTAAAAAATAAGAACATAAGATATATTAAATATTGACCTGAATCACAGGTATATGAATTGTTATAACAGAACTTGTGTAAGTAAAAATATTTAGAAGCAAAATGAACTTCGGAATTTCTCATTGAGAGAATTAACCTTAGTATCCCAGATTCATACTGGATATTTCTGAGTCTGAAGTCTTGTTCTGCAATGTGCCTGCCATGCGCTATTAGGCAAGATTTGAAACTTCTGTGATCACATGTTTCCCCATCTGAAATACGGGGAAATAATTGCAAAGACTAGAGTAATTGTGTCAAGTATCCAATGCCTCTTTACAGTTCAATGACACTCGTAAGTGCCACCTCATTATCATTCCCACAGATGAAATGTCTGATTGCTTTTTAGTTTCACTTCGACTATAACCAGAATTATGATCCAGATTTGGGTTTAGATGACCTAGAACTCTTTTCCAACACAAAATTATGTCTCCAAAGTATTAAGATCTGACACTACTAATGCTATTGGTAAGAATATTTCAGAGACTCTGAAGGCTATTCGTTTTTCTGAAAAACAACTACGTGAAAATGTCACATTTATTTGAATGCATACATTTTGGTTGTTTGGAAACAATGATGATGCTCTATAAGAACTCACATGTTGACATAATTTTTAATCGCTTTCTCTTTCTTGGTAAATAGAGAATTATATAAAATCATGTAAAGCATTAGATGTTATTAAAGCTAGGTCATGAAACTGATCATTCCCAGATTGATGAGCTATATACTATGATGAATATATTATTTTTGGTGTTTTTGTTTTATAGATTTTATTTGATAAGAAGTTTTTGTGTGCATGTGTGTGTATGTATTTTTAATGGCATTTTTATTAGTATTAGAAATGGAATGCCATAATAAATCATCTTCAAAGCAAATATTCGCTACAATTGTGTATTGATGTATCATTTTAGGGTTTTATATGACCATTTTTTTAAATTGGGAATTTAATGTATTATATATATATTTAGTACTTCTAAATTAAAAACAAAGCAGAGGCATTTACACATCTCTTCTTAAGTTTCTTGTTGGAAGAAATATAAAAAAAATGAGCCATGGTTAATAAAAACAAAAACTATATATTCATTATTATATCACCTCCATTAGATTGTGAAATTGATAATTTTGTTATAATTTTGGTGTGTGTCACTCCTGGCTCAAGAAATGAATGTATAAATCATAGTTATTTACGCAGAGGATTCCCTATTGGACAGCACTATTCTGGAGTCATGATAAGTTTTCATATATGGCTACATATATGACTTGGGTTGCTGATTCACTCCACAAATGGCCGCAAAATCCAAGGCTGGGTCAGACTGAATCCAAGAGCCAGGAACTCTATCCAGGTCTCACACGTAGGTGACAGGAATCCAGTTATTTCAGCCATTATTGCTTTCTCCCAGGGTCTGCATTAGCAGGAACTGGAGTCAGTAGCCAGAGCCAAGAACTTAACCCAGGCACTCTGGTATAGGACGTGAGTGTCTGCTGCTAGGCTAAATGGCCATTCCTATTAATCATCCCATTTGATAAAGAATGATACTGATATATAAATCAAATAGGGTTACTTTTTTAGAAGAATTATTTTCTAGTAAAAGAAACCATTTAAATAATACTAAATTCATTATTACAAAGTACACAGGGTTAGAGATTCAGGAATCAAGGGTCATTGCACACAAGTAAATGCTGGGTAGAGACTGAGCAAGAAGCTTTATGTCTCCTTTTCATGAATTTTCTTCTATAAAACCAGATTTTCTCAGATCAGTAAATCAAACAGCTAGTATGTGAAAAGAAAACTGGAGCAATGTGCTTTTCAAAAGTTGCCTGTGTTATCTTAGAGCAGAAGAAATTGCCACAGTTTCTTTCATTTTCCCAATCAAAATTTCACAATGTATCTCTTAGAGACCAAAGATTTTTCTGCATTATTTATTTTATTTATAAGATAGTACACAATGAGATATTCTGACACTTGTAATTTCATAAGTACAATTTCCACAATGTTTTTGCAGGAGTAAGCTTTCAAGACTTCATGACTTGCAATTTCAAGTACTAGAGACTTTGTGGTAGAATTTTAGTAGATGATGATTTTATTTCCGCTATTTTAAAGGTGTTTTTTGAAGTTGGCAGAGTATCAAGTTGCCAACTATCTGTAGTTGTTCACCTCACATTGAAAAAATTCATAGTATTTTGATGAAATATATGAAATAATTTCCACTGCTACCAAGATTTTCTCTGCGGAAAGGATGAATTCTTGGATCTCTAAATGTTTATATTTTGAACTTGCTATGTAGGAATGTGCCTTTTATTTCCCTGATACAGCTTTAAAAATATTACTTAATTTTTTTCTCCTCTGAGCTTTAGTAATAACTGTAGGTTCATATTGAGTGTCTCATCAAATATTGGGCAGAAAACATCTGAAATACTAGCAAGAGAGATCCTGAGTTTAGAACTGAGCCTGAAAACTGAACTTAAAGCTAATCATTTTTATTTTGACTCTACATAATACAAATTGTACACATACATGGATTTAATGTGCTAATTTTTTCTTAATATGCAATTTATTCAAAAATCTTTATAAATGACATACTAATATGAAATTGACACTCATTTAAACTTGCTATCTCTCATTCTGTTGTAAATATATGTTTAGAACTACAGGAAATAAGGGCAAGCATGC